AAATTTTAATCCCTGTAATTGTGGGGTCTTCAAACAAAACAATTACACCATCTATTGTAATTCAATTCCTTCTGGTGACGAAAAAAACATCAACGAACGTACCTACAATCCAACAAAGCGCCTAAATCCAAGGGTGTGTTTTTATCTCCTGTTCATTTCTTGAGTGTGCTCATTCAATTCAACAACTGGTGCGGTGCTTGATGTTTATAGTCCGTGCGAAACGTGAACTGCGAAACGACGTTCTGCTCACTCCGAAGGCACATAAACATGACAAACCGCCGGAAAACACGGGAGAGGGCGCTAAATACAAGAACAGAAAATGAGTCGGTCTTGGATTTAATTCCGAGAACAGCAAGTAAAGCAGCGGTAGTCAAGTCTGAGGTTAGGACCGATAGAGCAATGGCCAGTGATGATTGATCATTATCCAGTTTTATGTTCAGAAGGAGGGAAGGTGTAAGGCACTTCAGATGGAGGAACAACAAAGTGGGTGTTTAATAAAGCAAATTGGAATACATCTCAGAAGAAGCATGACAAAACAGTGACAACGGTAGATATGAGGGGGAGTGAAGAATTAACCAAGGGTCACCAATGTGGTCCCCAGTTAGCTCCAAGGGCCAACTGAGTAGACACTGCGGTCAAACCAGCCTCCACTCGCAAAATTGAAGTCAAGTGAGCCGCCACTGCGATTATCAGTGTTCTGCATTACGGTAATCTGCCGCCAGCGAGTGGCGTTAGCCACCTTCAAAATAAAAGCGCCTCCACTAATGCATAAACGTCATTTGTTTGGGTTAAAAGAAATTAGTAAAAACATAAAATAAGTACTTTATTATTTTATTGTTTATTGAACATATAGAACATACAATACAATAACAGATTGACAAAAGTGAAGGCAAGTAAAAATTATATAAAGAAAAGAAAAGAAAAATAAAGACAGACATTCTCACAGTTTTTTGTTCAAAGGAGTAGGAAGAAGTAAATAACTTATCTAGTCCTACCCCTTGTTATGTAAAAGTATATGAATTGATCTTTTTTCAATACAAAGAAAAAAAAATCTACATATCATCAAATACTTTTACCCTTATGTGTACTGTACTTGCAGCGATTTACTCATCTTCAGGTCCGTTTTGAAATTACTCCACAGATTGACACCTATTACTGATACACACCTTTGCTTGATGTTTGTTCTTGTTTTGGATTTTTTTGTATTGGTTGGTACCCCTTAAATTGTAACAACTATCTCTAATTTCAAAAAGCTTCTGGCTTTCTTGGCTGTCGGGTAATAATTCACAGAGGAAGAACAAGAACTCTCAGAACAGCACCAATAAGCGTTCTCAAGTGGAGATAGAAAATAAAGTCAATGGTAATTCTACATCAGTTTCACTCGATATTAAAAAAAATCATTAAAACAATCAATCTGGGTGATTGCGCAACCACACCAGGTTGTCGACACACTAGGGCACACCAGGTATACAACCACAGTACTGGCATTCAGATCGAATGTTCCATTACCAATTAAAATGCCTCTCAAATATGACATTTTGAGCTCCTCTCCTTATTTCAAAAGATTCTTAAAAATGAATTTCAGTTATGCCTCAATCAAACCAGGCGTGTGGAACACGAGAGCACTCCAGGTATCCAACCAGACCACCCTCATTCGGGTCTGATGTCGGCCTCTGAAAAGTGACAAGATGGCCTGCGTTCTGACATGACCTGCATTCTAACATGTTGATCTTTTCGCCCATTTTTAGAACATCCTAAAAGAAGGAATACAGCACCCCGGCTCTCCTCCCAGACCACCCTTGTCCGGATCCGATGTTGCATTTTGAAATAAAAGGCCTCTGAAAACTGGCATGTTGACCGGATTTCTGACAAGTTGGCCTCTATGTCAGGGTGTACCTACAGCCCTCCGGCTATCCAACCCGACCACTCTCGTT